GCCACAAGTGGAGATAGGAAAAAGACTTAGTTTAGCTCTCAACTTCTAGAGAAACTAGGTGCGATTGATAAATAATATAAAGGAAAAACTTCATATAAGGCGTCCACCTTATACTATAAAAGTGAGGCATACCTCAAGAAAATACTAAAAAAGATTGTTCTAATGCTGGAAAGGCGTCAAATTGATCATCTCTACCTCAAGATTTATGGACAAAAAACAATAAAAAAATAATGCATCTTGGATCATATTATATTTGTCAGATCGGTGTTCCGAAATTACCCCCAATAGCTTTTTCTCATCGTTACGAGTATTTTTTAGTCATTGTGAAAGACACATTAAAATGGGGCATTATAAGCTATTTTGGAGAGTGCGTGTGTAGGATAGCTTTTGATGAGGTTGAGATTGGGGGTTTTGTACCCTATTTTGGGTGGTTTCATTGTGATTTTCTATTATAGATAAAGCCCTAAAGTTAAGGGAAGTTTTGATGGTTCTTTTGTGGTAGTCAAAAGAAATATTTATGGTGTTTTACTAATTGCAAGGCTACCATTGTATTTACCCCATTTTTGTAATTCTTTTATAATAATAAAATCATTTTATTCCCAGTTGTCCATACATGTAGCCCAAATAGGCTAAATCACGTATATTTGTATATTGATAGTGTTTAGATTATGATTTGTAATTTGTTGTGGTTTTTAGTTTTTTCGATTTCGCATCTTTTGGTTTCATATTATTTTTTTTGAAAATTTATTGTAACAAATACATTCTGCGGTTTTTTGGAGTATTAAAATTGATTTACAAGTGCTAGGTGAGTGAGTTGGACGTGGAGATTAGTTGTCGTGAGGGATTCACGCAAACAGGGGAAATCGAGAAAGTCAACTTCCAATATCAAAGCTCAAGGGAAGTATGTAACCATTTGAAAAAATAAATAGGAACTAATTTGAAGTAGAAAAGTTTGATGAAATAATTTTAAATTTTAGAAAATAAAAATTTAAAATATATTGGTGCAACATGGTCAATATAAAGCGTTACAAGGAAAATAAAAAAAAGTGAATAATATAAAGGAAGATGATTGTGAAGAATTTGATAGGAAGACGCTCGCCAATATTTTCTTACGTTTATCAAATAAAATGCTATTTAATATAGTGGGAGAATGACGGCAGAGGACTTATGAGCAATGTTAGGAAGCTTGTTCTAAACCATATCCCTCACAAGTAGAATTTTTTTTTTTAAAAAAAAAATTGTATTCCATTACGATGAGAAACAAGATGAAAGGGTCGAAGTGCTAAAATGAAAGGGTCGAAGTGCTAAACGGATAGTTTGATGGTTCAAGAAGGGATGTACTTATAGCAAGAGGTCTGTCAAATAAAAAGGGTGGTTTGCCAAGAAGTTCCTCAAGTGGTATGGCTCATTTCCGATCAAAGTCAAGATCTTATGACAAAAGTGATTGTTGATTTTGTGGCAAGCCCAGAAATATTGTTGGGAGAAAAGGGTAAATTCCTTGAAGGGTTTAGGTTTGGGAATGAAATGGCAAGGTGAAGCCAAGAAAATGGTTCATTTGGTTAAAGAATGAACATTCAGCTATTAAAGATGAGGTGTTGATGGTAGGATGCAATCTTACGTACTAGCAAAGTTGGATTCGTAATACTGGAGTCTGCCCAAATAGATAAAGGTTTGATGCATATAAGCCGTGTGAGGGTAAGTTAGAATTAATGGAAAACAACTTAATGAGTAACAAAATTGGAATAGGTTCGATCTCCATAAGGATGCATGCTGGAGTGGTTTAAACTTTTGAAAATGTGAAGCATATGTAAAGATTAAAAAATACCTTCGTTTCGCTTGCTTCTCTAAATATGGAAGGTTACAAATTTATTAGAAAAGCAGCAACACTCAATGTTTGAAAAGAGGTTCTAGTTATGATGAAGTGTGTTTGGGAAGGAAATGTGTAAATTGTTAAGAAATACAATTTGTGAGTTGAAGAGAAAGATAAAACTCAAAATAGGGAATGTGATTTGACAATGAAATATCTTAACGGTGAAAGCAAGGTCTTGGCAAGGATGTCGTTGAAGAGGTTGCATCCCCAAAATTTAAAACCCTAAAGTTAATCTTAGATGGGATTTTACCCTAAGAAATAAATAGGCAGTATACTCCTGCAGGAGTACAATATCTTCAAGCTTTGTTTTGTTTTGGGATGAGATGAGGATTTTTTTGACAAACCATGGTGGGCTTTTGAGAGGAATGGCAACATCGTAATTTCTCTTCATCTTTGGGTAGTTTTTAGACATCTTTACCAGGAAAAAACATTTTACTTTACCGAAAGGGTATGTAATCTTATTGAGCACAAAAATATCTATCCATAGAACCTGTATGATGCTTCATAGAGAACTTCTATAAAAGTTTACTTAACTTTTTTATTCCTACAAAAACTATTTTGACCTTAATAAGCCTACCCATGCTATCGGAGTGTTTGGCCAAATGGTTGTTCTTTTGATGGAATATGATGTCACTTATTTTCCCCAATGTGCTATCAAAGGATAGGTTCTAGCCGATTTCTTGGTTGCAAGTTCGATTCTGTAAAGGTTTCCATCAGATGAAAAATTACTAAGTGCAGTTGTAAATCCCGAGTAAGGACTCCTCCCTTACTCCTTTTATTTGAAGAGGAAATGCTAAGGATATCAAGCCAAGTATGAAGCTCTTATCACTGGGTTATGAATGGCCCATGCACTCAGGATTGACATGCTTTTGATATTTGGGGACTCACAATTAGTAAGCTGCCAAATTGACGGAAGTTACCAAGTGAAGAAAAAGGAGTTGCTCCCTTATCACCAACAAACTATGAGTCTGATACAAAATTTGAAGACTCTACCCCTCACCTTTTACCATGAAGCCCGAATAGGCATGCCAAGGCATTGGGTAAACTGGGAGCATCAATAACTCTCACTTCTTCCAAAATGCTGCAAGTTTGGGTCCAAGAAAAGAAGATGCTCGTTCCATCAGTGGAAGCATATCAATTGCCGGAGCTCACAATACCAAATATCCCATCAATGATCAATCCTAAGATGCATCAGCCACCATTGTACGACATGTCTCTTGCTCTCAAGCACATTTACCTGACTGGAGACACCCTTATATAGACTTTATACAATATAGGATCCTCCCACATGAGAAAAATGAAAGAGACTCCATTTGGACGAAAGCAACAAGATTCACCCTTTTGGACAGGGTTCTCTAACAAAGAAAGTTTGAAGTTTGAACTAAGAAAATAATCTCGACACTATATTACCATCTTAATTCACATATTTAAAAAACTCCAACTATATGCCTACACTAATCCTTAGCAGTCCAAAGCCATGCAATGCATTAATTTTTCAAATAAAGGCATGGATTGTTGTAATATAAAACGCATGGACCCTTTTGATGTTTTTGTGAATAGGGAGCATTATGGCATTCCACAAAAAGAGGGATATTTAACTGATTTTGAAAGAAATTCTGGCTATATTCATGATATTTGAAACTACAGTATTTTACATAATAATAAAGGAAACTATAATCTCAAATTTTTTATTATTATTATTGATACAGGAACCTATCAAACAATCAACTGACAGGTCCCATACCAGAAAGTTTTGCTCATCTGACCAAACTAAAGTCATTGTAAGTATAAATCCAATCTTTCAAGAGTGCAATAAAGGGGAAATGAAAAGAAATATGATTTTCATGGACATGCATATGGTTTGTTTATAGGGATTTGTCAAGAAACAATCTAACTGGGCTGGTTCCAAGCACATTAATAGATAAAAACGACAGTGGTGTACTTCTATTAAGGTTAGCATTGATATACTGACATTTTTATTTTACTCTTCGAGAGAATCACTTATAACTGACTTCTTGTTCGTTTGTTAACTTAACGTGCGCAGCATTTTGCAAAATCCCAGCCTTCTGAGACCCAACTCCTCTAAACCAACTCCAAAGAAGAGCAAGAAGAACGTGTTTATTGTGGTGATATCTGTTAGTGCAACAATAGTCTTGCTCTTTGCCTTTGCATTTGTCCTGATAATGAAGACAAGGAAAATAAATGGTAAGCTTCAGTTTACTCACCAACATCTCTATATCTAATATACTTACGCATCTAGTATATACTCTTTCTTTCAATTATGCCACTCCGAAGTCCCAAATAACCCAAGAACACCAAAACAATTTTTACACAAAACAATTTTTACACAAAATAACCTATGCTCAATTTTTACACAAAACAATAACTCGTATTCCCAAAGCATGCTTCAAATTGGCCAACACACGTAAATATGAGCTCTTAAGAGTAACGGTTTCTTATTTTTTGTTATTTACTAGTACCTAAAACAGGCATCAAATATCATAGTTGGGTCTATTTCCGATAGTAAGAATTTAAGCAGTAAGCCCAGGGCCAAAAACCAGGGCTAAAATTTCAAAGAAACAATCCCCATCTATGGGGCAACAAACCTACCACAATTGCTTATGAAGTCAAATCAATGAAATTTGGTATAACACAAGACAGAATTCAATTGATTATCTTAGAAGAAATCAGCCAGTAAAAGCCTAAAGACTTTTCTATATATTGTAAAATACACAGCAAAGTTTGGTAGTTTTTTCTAGATGGAGGATGACTCTTATGGCTAGTTTCATGACCTGCAGCTAGCAGGCTTCCAAATAAATGGTTTTTTTTTTTTTCTGAATGTTCCAAATAAATGGTTTTGTTTTCCACTAAGCTTCCAATAAATGTTCTTTAATATTTTTTACCATAACTTAGTTCCTCCTACAGCCAACCCCAAATAGTTACAAAACCGCTCTGACGATGATGATGAACTTAGTTCCTCCTACAGGCTCTAAAAATTGAACAGTACGTTGCATCCCTAACAAAAATTCAACAGTACGTAATTAAAAGTGAACTCCCATTTTAATTAGTAAATTGTGAACAAGTTCAAGCTCTTTATTTGTCTCCTAGAAATCTTTAATTGTTTTTCAACATTCCAATTTCTTCAGAAACCCCTTCTGAGTTCTAAGTTCCAGGTTAATATGTCTCATGCAAATTTCTTGAACTATTGTTGGGGTCCTTTTTCCAAATAGGAAGCATCTATGCAGCCCAAGCTACCTCAAACCAGGCCTGAAATTTCAATGACACAACCCCGAAACCATACCACTACTAAGCCAACTGTGTATTAGGTAGAGGATAGTCCAAGATTAAGTGTACTTGATTATATTTTAAAAAGAGAAACAGATGTGAAGTCTTAAAGTAAGCAATGGGAATTCATTTTTCCAGAAACCATTATAGAAACCTACTCAGACCTCTTTTCTAGATGAACCAAAAATAGACATTTCACTTTTGGATCTTTTGGGCCTGTGTGGCCCCAGGTTTTGTTTCCTGTACAACCTACATCTTCCCATTTAGATAATAATTCCATTCTCCGTTTCATATTTTGTGTAAGGTGAAAACATTTTTAATTTTGAAACTCTCGGGTGTATAATTTTTCTCAAAATTAGTTGTTATTTAATCTCCAGAAAAGGCAATTTTGTGATCATTTCTAAATATAGTAAAATTGTAAAAACATGCATCAGGGAAACTGGTTTTGACTGCATCTTCGAAAGCACTTTAAATGAGACCTGCCTGAAAGTTTAATGTGGAAATTTTTCCAACGATGGTAGGGTAAATGTCTGATCAGATCCATATATAGTTTATGGTATACATATTTTTTTCCTACACCATTGAATCAGGAGAAGAGAAGTTGTGTAACAAAGAAAGGGATGACACACCAAAACCAGATGCCACCAGAGCATTTACACATGCAGAAATTGTAAAAATCACCAATGACTTTGAAAAGGTCATTGGCAAAGGAGGCTACGGGCCTGTTTTCTATGGATGCCTAGAAAATGGCCATGAAGTTGCTGTGAAGTTACTGTCCCAGGAATCACAGCAAGGATATAAGGAATTCCTTGCAGAGGTTCGTATAGACAAAACAAACTAAATACCATTTGTATACTTGTGTATAAATTTACTAAGGATATATGCATTTGGACTTGGTCAAGCAGGTTAAACTGTTGATAAGAATTCATCACAAGTACTTAGTCTCTTTCATAGGATTCTGTGACGAAGGCCCAGAAAAGATTCTGGTCTATGAGTACATGTCAAAAGGGAATCTGAAAGAGATTTTGTCAGGTACAATTCCCAAGCCATCAGAATATTTTTCATTTTCATCTACAATGTTAGTTTTCCCCTTTGAATAATTTGTGACATTTCCACCAATGATTAAAATGTTAAGTTTTATTATAAGCAGTGTTCTAAAACTCAGGCGAGTCAACTTAGACTCAGCCGCTTGAGTTACTCAGACTGGTCAAGGTGCCATGTCCGAATAGGAGCTGTCACACACATTCAATTCGTACATGTTGATACTATAACTTGTACAAACTCATCCAAGTCTCTAACAGACGAGCAACACTGTACAGATGACTCGGACTTGTGGTCCTCCCGAGTCCTAAGTCTGAGCCTTGTTTTGAACATTGATTATAAGTCCCTTCTTCCAAGTGCATGAGTAGGATAAAAAAAACATTCTAGTCATTTTTATTACGCCTATTGTACATGTAGAAACAGATAGATGAAAGCAACCGAACCGCTGGATGTCCTTACATAAATGGAACAGTTTGTTAGTTGTTATGCCTCTAGTACTCCATACAATAATACCCTAAATAAATAAACTGAAAATAAAAACGAGTGCAAGACATTAATCTTTAGCAAAATCTACTTATGACGCTTTAAAAGCAACCATATAATGAGTATGGCTCTCTGTGGATAGTCCTATTTTGAGATCATCCTCATATTGAACTTAATTGATAAATAGTGACATTTGATTTCTTGTAACTAGACCTCTCTGGAGTACCATGGAACTCTGGATTTGAGGATCGGTATAACAGACTTTTATTTTCAGAAGAATATAGCTAACTACTGAGAAACCACTATTTTTTGTCACCCCGATAAATTTATTTCTCTCCAAGGAAATATAATGTGACATTTTGGATGGCCCTTCATTTGGGTTTCATGCTAAATATCCCAATCTGCATTTGTAAAGCAAGTAAGAGATGGTACAGTTGACATGGGAAACCAGAATCCACTTTTCAGAGTGATGCGTGATTGCTTAAGATGAGAAATCACAAGATCATGAGTAAATAAAAGTCACTAGATCATGAGTAAATCAGTATCTATGAGGTAGGGAATGTAACTCATAGAAAATGTCAACCCCCCCCCCCCACACTTAGGAACTCCAGCGTGAATCTAGTTATGGATGTTATTTCAGCAGGACAAGAGACAGGGTTGAGATCCCGTGACCCATGCTTATTAAGTAAATCTAGCACACTCTGGAAATACATACAATTACCAAGGAGTCCAATATATATGAAGAAAACAAAAGGACAAAAGGATTCCTGGAAGTACGTACAATACCAAAGAGACCACTTGATGCAAATGAAACAAGAATGGAGAAATGGATAATCTTGAAGTGCACAATGAATGTTTTTCTTAACAAATCAAGGACACTCTGTCACGAGCAAATACTTGAGAGGCAGATTCATATTGAAGATATCTATAGGAGGGCAGCAGGATCATGTCAATGATATCTAAGAGCACCACCTTAACTTGAAATATCCTTGCAATAATATGAATGCACATGTCTCCACGTAGCCTTACAACATTGTCAATGTTGGACCATTCTACATCATTAAACTCACCTTGTCAAGAGTAATTTGAAGAGAGAATGCTAGATAAATGAAGCATAGAGAACAATGTTTCAAAAGCGCTAGGTAGGTCCTAGGCGGCCGGCCTGGGGGGTCCAGTCTTCCCAGCTTCTAGGCGGGCACCCAAGTCGAATCGAATCAAAAAAGGATGCCCATTTGAATGAAAAAAGGATATATAATATAAAAAATAAAAATTAGGTATTTAGGTCACTTTGAGTTTGATTAATCAATCTTCAAACTTCCACCTCAAAGATGCTTCTAATTACTCAAAATTTTCTAAAAAACCCCCAATAGATTTATAAAACATAAAAAAATTAAATCTAATATCAATGGGTGATGTTTTGATCAATTTTTGTCAACTTTGAGAAACCCTTCGATCCTAAAGAAATCAGTTTATCTCTCTAAAATGGGCTCCAATAAGTTTTAGGCTTCAAATGAACTTAAAACCGTCCTTCTAACCCTTTATATTTAAAAAAAAAAACAATACAAAAAAAAATTTCCGCCTTTGGGCGGGATGCTGGCTTAGGCGGGTTCCGTACCGCCTAGGCAGGGCGCAGGCCCCGGCCACAATGGGCTTGGCGCTGGGTGCCTGCCTAGGTGGATTTTGTACCGCCTAAGCGGACGTCCAGGGACTACCTCTCATATTAGCCTCCTAGGCCTGGGCGCATCGCCCAGGCCTTCTGGACCTCCTAGGCGCTGGCCGGTCCGCTTTTTGAATCACTGAATTAGATAATAATAAAGTAAATATGTTACAAATGGCAGAGCATGCCATGGCACAGACATACAAGAAAAGGATTTAAATACAGAATAAAATGCATACAATACATAGAAATAACAAATTGAAGGAATATGCTATATAAAGAGGAAGTAATTCAAATAAGATATATAAAACAAAAAGTATGGAAAAAGCAATATAAGGACCATACATATTTCAACTAAGAATTATCTGATTTTGCCAATAGTTCTGTCAAGAGGTTCCCAAACTCCATCTACTTCCATAATGGTCATGACCAGTGTTCGCAAAACCGAATCAGAACGGTTTATTGAACATGGGGCTAGAAGCAATTTAACCGGCCTAACTGATAAACCGGCCGATTCAACCGTTCTAACCAGGCAAGTTACGGGTGGCCAAAAATTGTTGAAAAAAGTAAAAAAGATGCAAAAAAAATCTACTAAAATATGAATAGCATATAAAGAATGATTAGAACAATGAAGTAGAAAATTAATGAAAAAATGGATTTTAAAAGAGAGTTAACATAACGTAAAATATTACAAAATGTATTACAAATCAAAGTCCTTATTTTTTGGATTTTATAGACATTTTTTTGATTTTTTATTTTTAAAATAGCGGCTGATCTAACTAGGCGGTTACCGGTCATGAAACATATATTAAAGAAAATAAATTGTTCAAGCCATGAATATGAGAAACTTCACACAAAAATCTAATGAAGAATCTAGAAGAAGTTAAGGGCAACATTTTCTGGAACTTTGGTCAATTCTCTACAAGACTAAGAATCATTCAAGCAACACTTGAAGAGTTATTGATAATATGGGAGGCGCTTTTGTCCCTTTTAGATGAGATTGGAAAGGACCGAAAGCAGAAGGGAAAGTAATTAACATCACTAAAATAGGATGTAGATTAATCAAGGATATGGAGAACTTAGTTATTCCTGAAAACTACCAAAGACCACCAGCTGAAAAGAACTGTAGTATTTGGTGTCCAAATAAATAGAATTATTAAAAGAATTTCATGTACACTAGTGGTAAGAATATCCTAGAACATATATTAGATATCATCAAACAACTCACAATTGGATCATAAACTTGTGAAAATTGCCCTGCATTGATCACATGGTTGGAAAGATTAACTCACAGACACAAACATAGTACTACTATACTGTTACAGTATTCAACAAATATATTATTGTAACTTAGGAAGCTACATAAAAAATTTGACACAAAAACAACCTCGAAGAAGTGAAATTCTATCAGATCTGTGCGTATACTTTTCATAAGTAGCCTCATTGTGCTTGAGCATTACATGATTCATATAGCGTTGGAATGAAAGGACCTTGAAGTGTTTGCCATATCATGCAGATAAAAACAGAAATTCAGTATCCTTAAATTGGGAGCAGCGTCTTCGAGTAGCTCTAAGTGTTGCACAAGGTAATGCATATCAAATATTACCTTTTTCTGATCTTGATTTCAATTTCTCAACAAGTATTTTGTGTTGTAGGATTGGAGTATCTCCATTGTGGATGCGAACCACCAATCATTCATAGAGATATCAAGACCGTCAACATCCTCTTAAATGAAAAACTGGAAGCCAAAGTAGCAGATTTTGGGCTGTCAAGATTAGGGCCAACTGAGGATGACACTCACATATGGACTATTGCCGCGGGCACCCCTGGATATGTGGATCCTGAGTATGTTACTGATCACCGAATAGCAGAAAACCACAAAAACATTGTACACAACCATCATTCACAGAAGTCTTTCTATGTTTTTGATTTCTTGCTCTTTTCTTTCCTACTTTTCTTTACTTCCACCCAGAAATGTAAGTGCCAGACCTTTATTTCCTTTCCAGCTTACTGTTAGCCATTTGAAGCATGCATTTTTCACCCATTTTTGTCCAACCAAAGTATTTATCTAATTTAGGGAAGATATATGGCCATGAATTCTCTGTGGAAGTTCTTTTAAATAAATGTCATGCTTCTTTGATTCTCATCATATAGTCAACAGAACTAAAAGGAAAGATGAAATTTTCTAGTGTATGGGTTGGGCCTCTACACACAATCCTACAGGGAAGTAAGCAACTAGCTGAAGGAACCTATCTTTTTTATGCTGTTCATTTAAACCAGAAGCCACAAAACTTGTTTTTCCACAAATAACTTATACTTTTATGTGTCCGTATGGCGAGAAGGTTGAGACGGACCACAGATAGTTTGATTGTCCTTTGCTTCCCTTCCAATATCTTGCCAATGCAGGTATAGATAGTTTCTAAGAAGACTGATCTACATAGTAAACTAATCTCTTTTCTTCTCTTAATACAATGTTGACAGTTTCAAAAATAATAATAATCTCTTTTATTGAGAATATATTGTTTTCATGACAAAGTATTTCCATGGGTCATTATTTAAGTATGTATTAACTCCATTAACTGCAGGTACTACATCACGAACATGCTCACTGACAAAAGCGACGTCTATAGCTTTGGGATAGTTCTTTTGGAGCTTATATCAGGCCAGCCTGCAATAATTTTGGATGAAGAAAAACTACATATAGTACACTGGGTAACTCCCAAGATTAAAACAGGTGACATTGTTAGTGTGGTTGATCCGAGGTTGCAGGGGGAATATGACATTAATTCAATGTGGAAAGCCGTTAAGATAGCATTGGCATGTACACCAGAGACAGCCGTTAGGCGGCCAACGATAAGTGATGTTATCGGTGAACTGAGAGGATGTGTAGAGCTTGAGTCATCGTGTCGCAGGAGAACTTCAAGAACAGAATACCACTTATCAAGCCCCATAACTGCTTCAATAAATATGGAGAAGGAACCAGGATTTGATCTATCACCAAGGTAGTCAGCTTCAACAGTTTTCGCATGCATGTCGGAAGCCATTATAGGTCAGTCAACATCTGCCAAGGTTCTCAAAGCAATTAGATACGTTGAGCAAGCCTTTTATTTCATTCTTAAATTTTATGTACTTCTGCTCACTCAACATTGAATGTGGCCCGTGATTCTCTTATGCCTTCAGTCTACTGTTCTTTGGTTTTATGAGGTAGACTAGCCTTTAATTCTCTATTATTGGGTGTAATTCTTGATTATTGGGTGTAATTCTGCAACTTGATGCTATTTATTTTCCTGTTTTCTTTTAAACCAGTTTGATAAAATGCTCCATCTAGATAACTACTATAAGGGAAGGCATTGTTGTTGTGCATATAGTTGTGGCTGTAGTTTTGAGGGATGAGGACAGCCTTTTATTGACAATCAAACTGCCCATAGAATTTGAATATTTCCCAATTATAGTTCAAACAAATCAATCAAACACCCCCATACAGCAAACGTCAATTCCTGAAATTACAATTAGGAAAAATCAATTAAAAAATTTCCAATGTTTTCTATCAAACAAACCCTTAATTTTGCTCTCAAATCCACATGAAAGGGTGAGGAACTAAATACAATTTATTAAATAAATTTTTTTTGAGACCCTTTTATTGAGAAATTTTTTAAAGTCCAACTGTTTAGATTATCCACTATATTTTTGGATATTATCTACTAACAAAATTTGGGTTTTTTATTTTTTTCTTATCGATAATATTTACTCTCTCTTTCTAGAAATTGATGCAAACTTTTGGAAAATGGCGCCAAAGTTCTATAAATAATTACCCCATCAATAACCAAGATAAATATGCAATTTTAACACTAACGAACCTATAGTCCTATATTAAATGGGACGTGCAATTAGGTTTGAACCCTTACTCATATATAAGTTAGGCTCTCTTTGATTTTTTTTCTCATCTGAACTTTTGAGGGGAGATTGTTAGAGGTCCCCTGGTTTCTTAATATATATTCCTTCTTAATTCATTCAAGAGATGGCTTTTCAATCATTCACTGCTTTTCTTAACATTCAAAATAAAAAAAATTTGGTTGCTTAATTGAGTTTGCGATCTTTTTAAAAACACCCAGGGGAAAAACATCATTTATCAATTTTTTCTTATTATTTCTTTGGTTTTCTTATTATTTCTTTCTTTCATTTAGGCCATTTTGATCGTTCACCTTGTTTTAGTGATTCTTAATTATTTAGAGTTTGTTATTTAGTTCATACCATGCTTTAAAGTCTCTTGCCACAACTCTTTCTTGTCTCTTTCGGGTCATGTATTAAGAAGGTTAGATTCCTATTTCCTTGTGTTATTTAGTTTGATTATTTGTTTTTCCTCTTTTTACACATATTTACTCAGAAAAAGGAATACATTAGTCATGTTCATTGGTTTGCTAATCCTCAGTTCTTGTGTTTTCTCCTCTTTGTTTTTTTTTTTTTTTGTGTGTTTATTTAGTTTACATGTAAGTTTTTGCCTTTTCGACTGCTCTCTCTATTCTCTAAGAGCTTCACTAGAATGACCATCCATCCTCAAAGATAGATGGTGGAGATGAACCATAGTTTCAATTGAACTTCATCTAATCACTAATGCAATGGTTGATCAACACCATTTTTTTTTTGACCAACGTTAATGCTTTTATTAATACTATGAAAACAAAATTACATCGTCAGAGATAAAAAGAGAAATAAAAAGGCATCCCCCTTAGCCAAGCTGTCCGCCATCGAGTTTGCTTCACGATAAACATGAGTGAAGGAGACCATAATAGTTGAAGACAAATCCATAATCCTTAGCTAGAGCGGTCTTAAGTTGTTCCGTATTATACGACTTCATCACGTTAAGATAATCCCCTGCTATCCAACATGTATGGCTATAATTTCTCTCTCTAAAAATTTTCAATCCTTGATAAAGCGCACTTAATTCAGCAAAATTTGTCGTTGCACACCCTATTGGCCCAGTATAGAAAAAAAGAGTATTACCATTACAGTCTCTCAGAATACCACCAATCCTAGCAATTCCTAGATTACCAAGAGAACGTCCATCAAAGTTGAGTTTCACCATACCAGCAAGAGGCACCATCCATAAACTTTTTGGTCTGCACCTAATGGCACTCATATGAAAAAGGTTGTTGAGGTTAGCAAATACATCAATCTTCGTCACACCCCACACTACTTTTGACACCGAGAGCCACGACCATATAGATAACTTAATAGAATGAATCAGACCATCCAGAGATAGAGAAACTCCTTCAAAGGTCCTCATGTTTCTTTCATTTCACACTTCCTAGAGGATAACTCCTTTAACAATCTTCCACAGAGTTTTGCCTACCTCCGGCAGATGGGGCAATAAAAGTTGAGTAACAACACCCTCAACCGTCATTGGTAGGGCCAACCTAATATTCACCACACCAAACAACTAATACCAAATTTGGGCTGTGAAAGGGCAATGCAATAAAAGATGCGCACCATACTCCCCATCAGCTTTACACAACAAACAGACATTCGATAAAATCTTACCCCTTTTAATCAGATTATCAACTATTAAAATCTTATTCATAGATGCTAACCAGATTAAAATTTACACTTTATGAGGAATGAGCCATTTCCAAATTTGCACTATCTGAGGGCAAGACCATCTCCAATGATCACGAAAGAGAAGATTGTAGCAAGATTTAACCGTAAAGATGCTATCACTCTCCACCTCCCACACCATCTGATCCACTGCATCTGGCGAAATATAGACCGTTTCCAATAAATCCATCAATGCAACTGTGTTTGCTGAAATATAGACCGTTTCCAGTAAATCCATCAATGCACACCATTGAGCAAAGAGTGTGTTATTTAGCCTCACATACGGCAAAGGAATATGGCAAGATAAAAAATCACATCTTCTCTCCACCAACTCACAGACCTTACTATTGGGTCTCAAAATCACCCTAAATAGATTTAGGAAGAGAGACTTAAGGGGATAATCTCCCAACCACTTATGATGCGAAAAGGAGATTTGGTCACCACACCCTACAGACCATCTAAAATATCCAGCAATCATAGGCCTGTAAGAAGCAATATTTCTCCACATCTGAGTACTATCTCTCCTCCTACCTCCCCCAAGCCATACTTCCGATCTAACTCACATTTAGCAAAGAGGACTTGGAACCATAACTGATCTTTTAAGTGAAGACTCCTCCACCACCATTTACACAAAAGAGCTTGATCAACCATTCTAATGCTTCTAATATCCAAACGCCCTTCCTTCCTGGGTGAACACACCTATCCCATCTCAGAAAATTGAACTTCCGCTGATTATTATTGGAGCCACACAAGAAGTCCCTCATCATTTTCTCAATCTTTTTGACAACCGAGGCAAGCATATTAATAAGCGACATCTGATACACCAGAAGGTTTGCCAAGCAAAATCTTAGAAGCGTCACCCTACCCCCAATAAATAAATACTTCGGTTTCCACATATCCAATTTACATTGAACTCTCTCAATCACCCTATGCCAAACATCTATAGAAAGTTTAGAATCAGAAATTGGTAATCCAATGTACAGAATGGGGAAAGAACCCACTTTACAACCCATCACACTTGCCAAAGTCGCAAGCAATGCCTGAGGGCAATTAATACCAACAAGGGAGGATTTATGAAAGTCCACTTTAAAGCCAATTGTAACTTCACAGATTACCAAAAATAAAGCAAAATTCCTAATGTGTAGGGGATCCACATCACAAAAAATAAAAGTGTCATCAGTATATTGTAAATGACACTCAACATAAATGGTAAAGAGGAGAAGCGAGAGGGTATCCCCTTGGCGCAAGCCTCTATAAGCCTGAAAGAAGCCAATCGGGCTACCCTTGAAAAGCATTGAGAAATGGCCAGACGAAAGAAAACCAAACATCCACTTCCTCCATCTATCATCAAACCCCATACACTTCATAATTTCTAGCAAAATCCCCCATTCCACACGATCATAGGTTTTTTTCATGTCCAGTTTAAGCAAATTACCAGCCTTCTTACTCAGGACCCTCGAGTGAATACACTCTTGTGCAATGAGAACACTGTCCGTAATTTGACGATCCTTAATAAAGGTAGATTGGGTGATCGAGATCAGAGCAGGTAGTACACTCTTCAAACGTTCTGCCAACACTTTTGTAATAAGTTTGTAAAGGCTGGTTAAAATAGACTAATAGGGCGGATATCTAACAAATTAGAAATCAAATATTTCTTTGGAATTAGGGCTAGAAAGGTCGAGTTTACCCCTTTGAAAATCTCACCGCGAACCAAGAAAGCCTTAACAAATTCCAGCAACTTACCATTCACTAAATCCCAAAATTTATGAAAGAAACCAAGAGGGAAACCATCCGAACTTGGAAATTTATCCCTTGGCATAGCGAAAATCGCCTTTCGTAATTCTTCCATAGAAATATCTCTTTCCAAGAAATTTTTTGCTTCATCCGAGAGAACTTTGAAAGGGACTCTATTAAAGGATGGTGAAAGAGTGACCTCTTTGGAGAAAGCCTTCTTAAAGTGGTCAACAACGACCCCTTGCATAGCAACCGTATCATCAGAGACAACATCAGGAATAGACAGACCCGAAATGTCATTTTGTCTTTTTCTAGCACTGGCAATAGCATGGAAAAATTTGGTATTAAAATCTCCCTCTTTAAGCTACTTCGATCTAGACCTTTGTCTCCAATATATTTCCTCTGATCTCCTCAGATCCTCCAAATCTTTAATCTTCACGCCCCTCTCTAATACCAATTGCTTTGATAAAACACCATTAGTTTAAACATTAGAATCTAGCAATTCAATCTCAGCAAGTACACCATCTATTTTGGCCTTAATATCGAACTTATGCACTCTATTTCAGTTAATCAACTTATGTTCAACATTCAAAAGTTTCTTGTGTAACTAAAAATCCATGGTACCCTCCACTATAGTATTGGTCCACGTTCCTTTCATCAACTCGACAACATCTTTCTCCATCAGCCACCTAACATCCAACCTAAAAGGTCTTGGCCCACCATATAAGCAACCAGTAGTCAATAATAACGGGCAATGGTCTGAGGATACCCTAGGAAGAGCTTTGACTCAGACAAGGGGGAACACTTCCAACCATTCCGACGTAACAAAAAATCTATCTAATTTAGACAGAGCTAAATTAGTTATGTTGTTATTGG